AGTGAAACAATATTTTCAAATTAAATGAGACATATCTGCTTCTCCACATCACAGGCAGAAGTGATATGGTTGAGACTGAGCAGGACAACCTGCAGGGAAACCTGTTTCTTTTTGCTGGGGATAAAGCAAGCTGAGATAAGCAGGATGCTCCAGCTCAGGAAGGGAAGAGACAGCCAGTTTAGCTCATGCAGGATGGGGTCTCCAGCCCCTCACACACACCATGAGTGCTTTAGTCTTTTCCCCTTGGAAGTGTTGGTCAGCACAGGAGCAGTGAGTTCAGACAAGGAGCCTGAGATACACACATGGCCCATGCTCGGAGTGTGAAGTTTAATCAGTGATTACTAGGTCCAGAGGAAGTTTCTGGCTGTTCATCCAGACAGTCTGATTATAATTAAGCACACACATTTTACGATGTTGAATTGCTGGGAAAATGTTGATTGTTAGAGGAATCCAGCACAGAGCACGTTCACCACCATCACCAACACACAGAAATTGGGGTGTGATGGAGCCTGTTGTGCTTGGGAGGCTGCAGCAAAGCCACACTGACAACTTCATTTCTCCATACAACAGAGTGGGAAACTCCTTCCTGAGGGCCAAATGCATCTTCCCAGGCAGACTGGGTAGGCTGCATGTGCACAAGTCTTTTTTTTGGGAACCACACTAAGAAGTGACCTAGCAAGCAGTGTGGCTAGGAGCCAGGGAAACTTTATTTTACCTGCTCACAGTGGCAGCAAAGGATTTATTCCACTCACTCAGGAGCAAAGCTGAGCTTTTCCAGCATCACTGAAGGCACTGAGAGCTCTGCACAGCTCTTATGGTGCCCTGAGCAAGCACCAGGTCAAGGATGCAAGTTATAATCCTTGTGGAACACAAAGTTGCCTCCAGGCTGAACTTTACATTTAGGCCAATACAAGGTGTAAAGCATCATGAGCAGGGTTAGGCCCAGGTTAGTCTTTCTAAGCTCCCTAAATGATCCTGTCCCTCTCTACAGAGCCATAAAGCCTCAGTGAGGAATAGAGGGAGTGAGCCAGGAGTGCTCCAGTCTGACTGCAGTGAGTTCAGGGGACAGCAATAACCATTTGTCTAAAAAAATTTCATCTAGAAAATACAACCTGGGAATAAAGTTTGAAAGAGCAAGGGTTGTTTAGTCTAGAGGAGTGAAGGCTGAAGGGGATATAATAACAGCCTTCAAACGCAGGCAAAAAAATGCTTGCAAAGAGGAGAGAACACATTATTCTCCAGGTCTGCTGACTCCTGCAAGGAAAATTTCAGCTTGGAGAAGAAGAAAACTCTTCCTATGCAATCACAGCAGAAAGGGGCTGGGGCAGGCTCTGGTGCCAGAGGCTTTCCCTGGTGCCCAGAGGCAGTGGATGTCTGGGCACATGTGGGGCAGCTCTGGGTCCCCAGTCCCACACTGCCCTGCATGGGGTGAAGGTGGCACCAACACTCGTCTCCTGAGGTCATTTGCCACTCCAGAGCTACACCCGTGCATCAGGCCTCATCTTGAGTTACCAATATTTATTTACAGCTGCTGCAGATTCATTAAGCACCCTCTTAATGAAGTGTTTCATCTGGGAACACAGCTAATAACCTGAGTGAGCCCAAACCTGGGAGAAACAGCACGTGAGGAGAGACCCCACCATGCAGCCCTGACTTTCTTCTAACAAGGAAACCTGAGAATCTGTTTTCCAAGGCCATCCAGGCGAGCAAGCTCTTGCTCTGGCCCATGGCGTGGGATGGTTGTTACCACATCACCAACACCATTCCAAGGGGGCAAACCCAGGGGTAATGTGCTGAGCCCACCAAAATTTCCTTCTGCGAAACAACTCTCTGGAACACTGAGCACATACATCGTTGGCTGCCCCAGAGGCTCTAGCACTGGAAGAAGAGATGGCACCTGCTGGTGCTGTTCCACAGCCAGGCTGGCGCCAGCACCGTGGCACACGTGGACACAGCAGGTTTTTTGCTGCTGTTCTCCACTGCGTGGGGCTGCCAGGCTCAATATTTCACCCTGGAGCCATGGAAACACAAACCTCTCGATGAGCACCAGCGAAAGCTGCAGCTCGTCCGCGGGCGTTCGATACAGAACTCGAGCTGGCTATGGCTCCAGGAACACAAAGCAGGTTTCTGGTTAACATTCAGGTTTGCTCAGAACACACCATACAATCCCCTCTGAAGTCCTTCCCCACCCCTATTAAGAACCTTGTTTATCCCATAAACATCACCAAGGGAAATCACACCCGAATAAGCAAAGCGACAGCACAAAGATATCCCTCGTCAGCATCACCTCTGCAACCTTGCCACAACAAAGCACTCAGAGGCGCTTAAATCCCACTGTGTGCTGTGCTGAACCAGGGCTGCAAGTTGCATTAATTATGAATTATTAAACCACTCGGCAAATGACAGCGGAGAGGCCGCAG